GGCTATAGAGCCATTATACTATGGGATGCTCCACATATATACTCTTAGGTTACAGAGTTAACAGATGAATAACCAATGAGGAAAACAGTCATGTGGTTTAGGGACACATGTGTTCACTTGATGACATAGTCCTGGGCTTAATGGAGTCACATAATAGTTGTGTAACTGGCTTACCTACCTACGTTCCTTCACACTGTCATATTTTAAATAACATTTCAGGATATTTGAATTAATATTCTAAAATAAGGTATATAGTAGGTTACCCAAAGAGATCCTACAACTTCTCTGCTTTAAATTAACCCCTGAGGGACCCAGGGCAAATCATAAATAGTAGAGCTTTGTGAGTGCATGTACAAATATAATTTAGCACAGTCCTGTTTGTTCCATTGAGCATATGAACTCAACTTTATTATAGGAATGGGGATTTGGGTTTTCATCTTTATAATTAAACATTTAGTGGTGATTATCATATTCATGTAGAAAAAGAGCACAAATCTTAAGTAGATTTTTATAAGAAAACACACCCATGTAATAAACAGCACTCAGAGGAAATTGCCAGCATCTCACCAGGTTGGTTTTTTTTTTTTTTTTCGGGGGGGGGCGGGCAAAATTTCCCACTGATTATAGGTTAACTTAAACAAAACAACAACAAAAAAAAAAACCCAACTTTTCACCAACCTTAAAATTGTTTTCCACCATTAACATTTTGCCAGATCTTGATGGGAATTCTTAAGTCTTGAAAATTAGCCAAGTGAGAAAAAGCCAATGTCTGCTCTGATATCTTTTTTATCAAAATGACACACTGGTTTGTTTTGTTGTTTCCTTTTAGCTACCCTGCTGTCCTTGAGAGTCCTCCCAGAGTTTAAGAAGAAAGCCGTATGGACCAGAGCTTATGGCTGGTGTACAGCTTTGCAGTAGCTAGCAGCATTCTCAGCTGGATGAGGCAAATCATAGAAATGGAAGGAGTTCTTAAGAATTCATGTCTGGGATCGGTGAGACATTGATCCTCACAGTGAAGGGTCATGAAATGGTGGCCACATACCTGAAGCTTGCCACATTCATTGCCAGGAGGAGGGGTACATAATTTTGTTACCCAGGCAAGACTGAAACAGGAACACAAATTTTCTTTATTTGACTGGAGTTCAATGTGAAGATTTTCTTTTTGACAACTTGACTATACCTTCTTCTGTCTCCTCAATTCTAGTAAAAATATTCTTGTGAATTTTGTGCATGTGACTTTTATTTGGTTTTGCCAGCCAAAGCAAACTATAGTGGTGACAGTGGTGTTATGATCTGATTTCCATGAAGTCTAAGTAGATGATATTCATTGACTTAGACAAGTTTTATTACTATTGATAAATATTTTGGAACTGCTATACACATTTAAATAATAAGCATGACACTGAATATTAGCTAAATTAATTATTAGTGAGGGCTGTATTTCCTTATGCTTTGTTCCCTTTAATGCAAGCAAAAGTTATCCAGTTCAAAATAAATCAGCCAAAAAGGTGAATATTAGTTCATAAATCAAGAAATTTTAGATCTAATGAGTAGCAGTTGCATCCAGTGAATGAAATGGTGCCATCAGACTTTGTTCTTCTTGGGATGCTTCTACATCCCTGGCAAGATGGCTGCCATCTTGCCAAAGGTAAGGAAAAGTGTCTTTGCCCACAGGTGTGGCAAAAGCAACATGGGGAGAAGTTGCTTCATTCCATGTCACATGTGAGTCTCTGAACAAGCGTTTGGTCCCTGGGAAGTAGACCACTGTCATTGGCCAAGCCTAAGTCATAAGTCTACTTATCTTTATATCCCTGCACAAAGAGAAGAGGCAGCCCACCCAGACCTTGTGAACTGTATTTTTTCAGGATGCTGGGTAGGCAGAAAATGGCAAATGTCTCCTCTATATATATTTTTTTTTTTTTTACAAGTACAAATTTCTTAGGGTGACTAGTAGTCTAAAGAAAATGAAGGTTTGTGACAATGTCCTCAAGGATTGCATTTTATTCAATGGCTTGTCTGTTTGCTAACTATCCTTTTTTCACACAACCATTAATCAGGGTTCTATTTCTAGGCAATCATACACATACTGATACATCTATGAGATAATTGGGAAGAAAAATTATGCCACTGAAAATATGTACCTTTGTATCTGTCATACCAAAGCATAGTACAATGGCTGGTGCTCCACAAGCACCATGAACTTCTAGTATTCCCATGTGGCTTGTACTTTCATGTTGTCACCAAGTATTCCTGCCACCTATGTTGAAGATAGTCCTACTAGTTTTGTTTACCAAATCTATTATTTCCTTAGAGGTTGAGCTAGAGGGAAATGAATTTAAAAAGCAAGAAGGTAGAAAATTTAGATTGGAAGCTAGCTTTCTCCTTCCCACCCACATACACTGTCTCATACTACTGTTACAGGTTGAAATTCATCTAGCATATACTGTTGGGTGCCAGACTGTAAGTACACTTGTATTGGTTTATTTCACTCTTGCAGCAATACCATAAGGAGGTATTGTTTTCTATTTTTTAAAAAATGCAGTAAACACATCCAGGAAGTGGCAGTCTCGCCTCTAGCCAAGTTCCTAGAGCTGAAATAGTTTTGGATCTTGGGTTCTATCAGACTTATTAGCTTCCTCTTCAAGATGCAAACTCCCATCAAATCAAATCCCATTAAATCTGTTTCATGCTTACTGTAGATTGGTGCACTCAAAAGAAACAACTCTAATATTACCAGACCTCTGGAAGTGGGAAGTTTAGAGTTGTGGTACAAAGGTGTAGGACTTTAGATTTCTGGAGCATTTTGTAAATAGAGGTGGCAAACTCAGATTGCTCTTTTCCTTTTAGCTGTTTCTTTTCAAACCTTGTCCCTCCCTGCTCCTGCCCTTGACAAGAAAACAAGGATACAAAAGAGAAAAAAATAAGATATCCCTATCTTCTCTTCCCTAGCTCCCTTTTTTGCTTTTGAGCAGACTTGGATGGAAGATTCATGGGATTTTCTTATTCATGGGAACCTCAAAGGTTGTAAATTTGAAAGTACAAACATTCTAAGATATAGGTCACTGACCCTTCTTTTTCATTACCTGTATGACCTCAGGTAAGAATTAATTATTCCCTCAAGATATTTTGGTTTGCTCTCTAGAAACCAGAAGTCTCTGCTTTTTTAAACCAGATGTTCCTTACTATACACAAAAGGAAATTTAACTTACAAGTCATCTTCTGTTAGTTTTTGAAAACACAAATGCCAAGAGAAATAGCATGCAGGGATATACTAACAAATTACTGTGGGGTTAAAGCCATGTTATGTTTCTCAAAAGTATCCAAACATTCTGACTCTTGATTTAAAAAGTGTACATTTAGAACAGATGTTGGGATCCATGCAAGTACCTAAAATCTTCTGTTTTATTTTTAATGGAATGGCTCCATGGTAACTAAGAGGCTATTAATAACTTTTTTTGAAGTCATTTGCTAGAAGTTAGCTTCTCTCAGAATGCTAGTATTTGGAGGTGAGGCCTGTGAGAAGTAAGTAGATATGGGTGTGGAGCCCTCATGAATGGAATTAGTAAGCTTACAAGAGACATGGGAGAGATACTTGCTTTCTCTACCATGTGGAGACACAGCAAGAAACCATCCATCTGCAAACCCCAAAGAAGAAGGAGTTGTTATCTTGGAATCTCACCAGGAACTGAATGAGCTGGCACCTTGATATTGAACTTCTCAGCCTCCAGAGTTGGAGAAACCTATTTCTATTGTCTGTCACCCCAGTGTACAGTATTTTGTTATTGTAACCAAATCTATGATACACCAAGAAGCAGGTGCTGTTATACCAAATATATAAAAAATTTAGAAGTATCTTTGAAGTTAAGTGATGGGTAGAGACTGGAAGAGTTTCAAGATGCATGATAGGAAAAACTGCTAATACTGTTTAGGAATTGACACAGGTGATTTGGGTAAGGGCTAACAGAAAACAGAAGAAATCTGGAAAGAAAGTGCAATCTTGGAGAATACATAAATTATCATGAAGAGAACACTGACAGAAATAAGAATAGTAAACACCATTTTGGATGAGGTGGTAGATGGAAATGAGGAACATGTTATTGCAAACTGGAAGAAATGGAATCTTTGTTGTAAAGTGGCAAAGAATTTGGCTGAATTGTGTCCATGTTCTAGTGTTTTGTGAAAGGTGAGACTTGTGGGCAATGAACTGGATATTTAGCTGAGGAGCTCTCTAAGCAAACTGTTGAAGTGATTTGGTTTTCCTTCTACTGCCTGTATTAAAATATGAAAGTAATGCATTGAGGACAGAATTATTAACCAAAAAGAAGCATTTAAAGATTTTGAAAATTCTGAGCCCATTCATATTACAAAAAAATAAGAAAATATGTTCTAAAGAGAACACTGAGGGTGTGATAGGAGACCATTCAATAATGAGTTTAGTGTGGGTGTGAACTGCAGACGTAATCAGTTACCAGCACTGCTAGTTTGAACTGAAGGGAATGGAGATGAGACAAAGGGAAGGTTGGTTTTGGATGACTTGAATTTTACAGGAGACCATAGAGTTCATCAGCTGTGAATGTAGACCAGGGAAGAAGGACCCTAACAGTGATCCATTCTGCCAGGAGCCACAAGACTGAGACCATCCAAAGCTGTGGGGACCCGGCCTTCCCCAACAGAGATGGGTAAGATGTCTCCCCAGTGGGTCCTGAAGGCAGAACAGGAAGTCAAAGATCACCCCTGAGCCTTCAGATCTCAGAGTTTGTCTTGCTAGGGTTTGAACCTACTGGGGACCTGTTGCCCCTTTCTTTCCACCTGTGTCTCCCTTTGGAAATGGGAATGTCTATACAGTGCCCATCCAACCATTACATTTTGGTAGCATGTAATTTATTTAAAAAAAAAAGTTTGCCTCAAGATGAATTATACCTGAGTCTCACTTTACTCTGATTTAGAAGATACTTAGATAAAACTTTAGACTTTGCAGGAATGAATTAGGTTTTAGGGGCTGTTGGGATAGAAGGAATGTATTTCACTTATAAGAAGGACATAAATTTTGTGAAGTCAGGTGCAAAATGCTATAGACTGAATCTGTGTTTCCCTAAAATTCCTGTATTAGGCCCTAACCCTCAATGCAACAATACCTGGATGTGGAGCCTTGGGGAAGCAGTTCTTTGATTAGGGTGGAACCCTCCCAAATAGGATTAATATTATTATAAGAGGAGTTGTGAGACAGTGGTCCGTCTTGTGTTTAAAAAAAAAAAAAAGGGCATTTGTCTATAAACCAAGAAGTCCTCACTAGGAACAGAAATCTTGGACTTCTAAAACTCCAGAACCATGAAAATAACATTTATTTAAGCCACCCAGATTGAGGCTTTTGTTATCGCAGCCTGAGAAGGCTAACATAGGCCTTGGAAAGATGTTTAATTTTCTATGTGTAGCTAGTATTTATGGTGGGTACTGACATTTGGGGACAAAGACATTTGTCCATGAAGTACATTATTCTAGATGAGGACAGAGTGTATTTTATAGTGCTTTCCTCCTACAGATCTGCTGCTATTTGGCAATCAGAAGTGAGAAGGAATACATGTAATTTAGGTTACCAAGTCTGGTTTCTCAATTTAACTGAACTTAATTCCATTAATTTCCTTTTTCTCATTAACCTTACAGTGAAACAATCAGACTTCACCCAATATAAATGTAACTTGTATAAAAACCACAGTTTGGGGGAAACAGGGTATGCAGAGTACACATTTTGGAAATACAGTGAGTGATAAACAGACTGCTGTTGTGTGTAGAGTTGGGGGGGTGTGATTATGTTATGTCATGGGTTTTTGTCAAGTACTGGGTATTTTCCACTAGAATACTTCCTGTGTAGTAGTTGCTGCAGCCAAGTCCATGAGCCTGTCTTTTCTCAGGTCACACTGGAATGCTGTACTTCATATTTTCTTCTTCTTAATGGAAAAGACTCTGAGGACGTCTCTTCTTTCTGAGTAAAGATGACTGTAGGTAAAATACATGCCTAAGGTGGAGAGGAAAGTGGCAAAAGTAAGTATGGTTGATTAACCATTTCTCTGGAAAGAACCCTGACTTGATAACAGAGTGCTTCCTGAGTCCAGGGAGCCACTCATGAGGGAGACTTGGAGGAGGAACACGTATTATTTTGAGAATTTGTGAAGGTTAGATCTGGGGAAATGTAAATTTAATAATGTAACTTTTTCCCCCAATTTCCTGGAAAACAAATTAGTTCAAAAAAATTTCAACTACTTTTTATTAATCCAGAGTATATTTTATTTACATAGCATAACTTTACTCTTTAATCTCAAGTTTCCTGCAAATGTATTAGACTTTTAAAAAATTTTATTACTTGTATATATTAATGGGTTCAGTGATGTTTCCACACCATGCATACAGTGCGCACTGATCATATCCAGCTACCCTTCTACCCATGACGCGCTCTCCCCCATTGTCACCCTTCCCAGTCACTGAAAATCACTATCCTATTTTCAGGTTGACTTAAAAAGTTTCTACATTTTGAGAGAAAACATAAATACTTGTCTGCCTATGGCTTATTTTGCTTAACATGTCCCCCAATTCCATCATTTTTTTCTACAACTGTCAGGACTTCATTTTTCTTAGCTAAATAATATTCCTGTGTATATGTGTACTTTTTTATCCACTTATCTATGAATGCACACCTAGGCTTGTTTCATGTCTTTGCTATTATGAATAGCACCACAATAAACATGGGCATGCAAGTATCTGTTTTGTATGCTAACTTCCTTTCAATATATACTGTTCTCCGTAGTCATTCCTAATAACAGCATATGAGAGTTTTTGTTCCTTCACTTCCTCACGAGCATGTGTTTGTTTTGTTTATAATTGTCATTCTAACTGGAGTGAGATGGTATTATGGTATTTGCCTGATGGATGGTGGTATTGAGCATGATTTTTCATGTATTTCTTCTTTTGAGATGTTCAGATCATTTGCCATATTTAATTGAGTTGCTTTTTACATTAAGATTTCTGAGTTCTTTATACATTCTGGATATTAAACCTCGGTCAGATGAAAAGCTAGCAGATATTCTTTTTTCCATTCTGTACATTGACTCTTCATGGTTGATTGCTGTGCTGCAGCTTTTGACTTGGATGTAATCCCATGTGTCAATATCTGCTTTTCTTTCAAATCTTATCCAGAAAATCATTATCTGTACCAATAGCTTGAAGTGGCTCCCTGGTTTTCTAAGTGGAAGTTTCAGAGTTTCAAGTCTTACACTAAGGTCTTTAATTCATTTTAAGTCAATTTTTGTGCCGGGTGAAAGATAGGGATTAAATTTCAATCTTCTGTATGTGTTATCCAGTTTTCCCAGCACCATTTGTTGAAGAGGTTGTACTTCCTCCAATATACGTTTTTAGCACCTTTGTTAAGATTCCACTGGCTGTAAATGTGTAGGTTTATTTCTGTGTTCTCTGTTCCATTGGTACATGTTTTCATGCCAAACCCATGCTATTTTTGTTACTGTGGTTGAGCAGTGTGTCTTGAAATCAGATATTGTGAAGTCTGCATCACAGGGTCTTTTGTACTTTCATTTAAATTTTAAGATCTTTTTCTATGAAGAATGTCATTGGTGTTTTGATGGGGACTGAAGTGAATCTGTAGACTGGTTTGGTAGTATGGCCATTTTCACAACATTAATTCTAATCCATGAACATGGGAAGTCTTGCCAACCTTAGCATCTTTAATTTCTTATATCAGTGTTTTGTGATTCTCGTTGTAGAGGTCTTTCACTTCTTTAGTTTATTCCCAGGTATTTTTTATAGCTATTGCAAATGGGATGTTTTAGTGATTTTTTTTTAGAAAACTCATTGGTGTATAGAAAAGCTATTGATTTTTATATGTATCCCACTCTGTAAATTCACTCATGAGTTCTAATAGTCTTTTGGTGGAGTCTTTAGGATTTTCTATGTATAGAATCATATCAATTGCAGATAAATAATTTTATTTTATCCTTTCCTATTTGTGTGACTTATTTTTTTTTCTCTTACTTAATTCCTCTGGCTAAACCTTCTTGTATTATTTTGAATAAAATCAGAGTTGCCACCCTCATCTTGTTCCTGATCTTAGAGTAAATGCTTTTGGTTTTCCCCCATTCAGTATGGATGTTGGCTATGGGTTTATCACATATAGCCTTTGCTATGTTGAGGTATGATTCTTCCTATACCTAATTTGTTCAGGGCATTTATCATGAAGGGATATAGGATTTTATCAGATACTTTTTTTAAAAAAAAAATTTAGTTGTTGATTGACCTTTATTTATTTACTTATATGTGGTGCTGAGAATCAAACCCAGTGCCTCACACATGCTAGGCAAGCACTCTACCAACTGAGCCACAACCCCAGTCTCCAAGATAACTTTTCAACATCTATTGAGATGATATTTTATCCCTCCTTCTGTTTGTAACATTATACATATTGATTTATGCATGTCGAATCATACTTGCATCCCTGGAATGAAACAACTTGATCATCATGCATTTTTTAATATTTATTTTTTAGTTTTAGTTGGACACAATATCTTTATTTTATATTTATGTAGTGCTGAGGATCGAACCCAGTGCCCCATGCATGCTAGGCAAGCGCTTTACCTCTGAGCCACACACAGCCCCATCATGCATGTTTTTGATGTACTGAATTTGGTTGCTAGTCTTTTTTTTTTTTTTTTTTTTTTTTGCATCTATGTTCATCAGAGATATTGGTCTATAGGTTTGTTAATGTTTGTCAGGTTTTGATAACAGGGTAATGCTAGCTTCATAAAATGTGTTTGGAAAGGTTTCCTCCTTTTATGGAATAGTTTAAAAAGTTTGGTAAAATTCAGCAGTGAGACCATCTGGTCCTCAGGGGGAGACTTTTTATTACTGATTAGATCTCATTATTTATTGATCTATTCATGTTTTTTATTCCCTTGGTTCAGTTTGGCAGGTCATGTGTATCCCCAAATTTGTCCATTTCTTCCAGATTTTCCAATTTGTTAGCATATAGTTTTTCAAAATAATTTCCAGTGGTCTGCTGTAATTCTGTGGTAGCAGTTGTAATGTCTCCTTTTTCATCTTGATGGTTATCTGGATCCTCTTTTTCTTGGTAAGTGCAGCTAAAAGGCTGTCCTTTCACTTAGCTTTGTATACATTATAATTATCCATAATTTGCTCAATCTCCTTAGTACCTTCTTTCCCTCTGCTCCTTCCTCCCTGATCTACTTGCTCTACTGATCTCCCTTCTATTATTTTAAATGGAGCATTATCATTACATACAAATGGGGCTCACTGTGGTATATAACTACATAGGCATAGGTAGATTTTCTTCCCTCGTACTTCCTCATGCCCTCCCCTACTTTGGGATCCCCTTTCTCTAGACTATAGGTCTCTTGATTTTCATGAGATCCCCATTTTTATTCCTTTCTCCCTTTCTATCTTCCACCTGAGAGAAAATATTTGACCCTTTACTTTCTGGATATGGCTTATTTCACGGTTCTCCAGTTCCATCCATTTACCAGCAAATGCCATGATTTCATTCATTCTTTATGGCTCAGTAAAACTCCATTGTGTATATATGTACCACATTTTCTTTATCCATTTATCTGTTGATGGGCATCTGGGTTTGTTCTATTACTAGTCTATTATAACTACCTCAGCTGTACTAAAACTTGGTATGCATGTCTCACTATAATATGCTGATTTTAGTTCCTGTGGATAAATACTAAGGAGTGGGATAGCTGTGTCATATGGTGGGTCCATTTCTAGTGTTTTGAGGAATCTTCATACTGCTTTCCAAAGAGTTGTATTAATTTGCAGTTCCACCAACAATGTGCAAGTGTACCTTTTCCTCGATATGCTCCCCAGTATTTGTTATTTATATTCTTCTTCAGCCTCCCGAATAGCTGGAATTATAGGCATGTGCCATTCTAAGTGGGATGAGATAAAATCTGTGTAGTTTTGATTTGCATTTCCTGAATTTCCATTTGATATATATCTTTTGACAAATGTAATTTGCCCTTTTATTGATTTGGTTTATTTTTGGTGTTTTTGTTTGGTGTTTTTAGTTCTTTATACATTCTGGGTATTAATCCCCTGTTGGAATAGTAACTGACAAAGATTTTTTCCCATTCTCTAGTCTGTTCTTCATGTTCTTGTTTTCTTTGCTGTGCAGAAGTATTTAAATTTGATGCCATTCCACATACTGATTCTCAGTTTTATTTCTCGAGATTTAGGAATCCTAAGGAAGTTAGCCTGCAAAGGTTGTTTAGCTTTTAAAGAAGCAACTCTTTTTTTCACTGGCTTTTTGTGTTGTTTTTTAGTCTTTCATTTCTGCTGAGCTATATTATTTCTTCCTTCTACTAATTTACAGTTTGGATTATTATTTTTTCTAAATCCTTGAGGTACATCATTAGGTTACTTAAAGTCTTTTTAAATACAAGAACTCATTGCTATAAATTTCCCTCATAATACCACTTTTGCTGCCTCCCACAAGGTTTGGTATATTTTGTTTCATAAATGTTTTTAAAACTTCCCTTCTGACTTCCAGTGACTCACTTATTCTAAAGTGTGTTATTCAGTTTTCACATTTTTATAATTTCTATAGCTATTCTTGTTTTAATTCCATTGTAATAAGAAAAGATACAAGATACAATGAAATCATATTAAGATTTGTTGTGGCCTAATGTATGGTCTAGAGAGTTTTATGTACTGATTTAAAAAACATGTATTCTGCAGCGGTTGGATGGACTGTTCTGCAAATGTCTGTTAAGTCCACTTGATATTTAGTATGGTTTAACTTCAATGAAATGATACCTCCTTGATCATTACAAGGAGTGATGTTATTTCTCAGTTTTTGATGAAGTCTATTTTGTCAAATGCAAGTATAGCTATTCTTGCTTATGTTAGGATTTAATTTCAGGATATTTTCATCTCTTAGTGTATCATTACTGGTAAAATTTTTTATAACAAGAGATAGAACCCAAGGGTGCTTTAGCACTGAGCTACATCCCCAGCACTTTTAATTTTGAGATACAGTCTTACCAAGTTGCTGAAGCTGGCCTCATACTTGTGATCCTCCTGCTTCAGCCTCCCAAGCAGCTAGAATTATAGGCATGTGCCACCATTTCTTTCCAATTTGTATTTTTTAATTGTAGAATTTAATCTATTTACATTTTTTACATTTAAGTTTATTATTCAAAGGTACATACTTATGCCTTTTTTGTTAATTATCTTCTAGTTGTCTTGAATATTCCTTGTTCTTCCTCTTATTCATCTTTGTGGTTGGATGGCTTATTGTAATAATAATGTTTGAATCTTTTCCATTTCTCATGTGTATCTTCTGCTCTAGTGGGACTTACACTTTTACATGCAGTCATGGTGGTAGTTTTCTTTCTTTCACTTCTGGATATAGGAATCCCTTAAGCATCTTTTTTAAGGCTTTTCTTGTTATCCTGAATCCTTGAAAGGTCTTTATTTCTCAAAGATAGCCTTGCAGGTAATAGTAATCTTGGTAGCAGTTATTGTTTCAGGTGACTTGAAATATATCATTACATTTCCTCCTGGCCTGCAGGGTTTCTTTTGATAAATCTTCTGTTAGTCTTAAATATTACTTGGTACTTTTCTCAGAGATTTTAAAATACTTTGTTCCTGGACTTTTGACTATTTGATTATAATGTGTCATGGTAAAGGTATTTCCTGGTTGTGTCTACTTGGAGGTCTATATGTGTCCCATATATAGGTGTCCATGTCTTTCCCCAAATTAGGATGTTTTCTGTGTCTTTAACCTTTAGCTCCTCACCTTTGGATATTCCAAAATGAATATTTATTCATTTAATGTCACCCACAAGAACTTGAAAGCATCCTAATTTTTTTTTTCTTGTTTGAATGGAATATTTCAAAAGACCTGTCTTCAAGCTCAGATTCTTTCTTCTACTTGATATAGTCTGTCAGGCCTTTGACATTTTCATGTGCCTTATTGAGTTCTTCATTTGCAAGATTTGTTTGGTTCTTTTTCAACTCCTTTTGCTGGGTTTCTCATTCACATCCTGCATAATCTTCCTAATTTCATTTAACTGTTTATAGTCTTAGATCTCAGAGATTTTTAAAAAATCATTCCCTTGAATTATTTGTCAAGTATTTCATTCATTTTTAGTTCTTGGAATCTATTAATAGAGTTCTGATCTTTGGGGGATACACAATTACATTGTATTTTCATATTTCTAAATTGAGATTTGGACATTTGGTAGATCAGATATCTCTACCACATTTATGGAATGGCTGTTAGTAAGCAACCTTCTCTTAAAGATGTCTAGGGATGTCAGTTTATTATTTAATGTTGAATTTATTTCCAGCTAGGCACCATGTTGTCTCCCTGTAGCTTCTTTGTCTGTGATTAGTGAATTTGGGCACAGTGTATACCATGTTTGTGTCAGAGGGGCTCATGATCTCTGTGGGCTATGCAAGGACACTCTAGTGGTAGTTCAGCCAGGTGTAGCATAGGTAGCACATTGTGTGGCTTCTCCTACAATGGAAGTGGTAGCCCCTATCAGGTAATAAGGGTTTCCTCAGGTACTGGTGACTTCGTTATTTGCAAAGGTCTTTGGCACTGGCTGTCCCCATAATGATATGGGCCTAAAGCACTTATCCTATAGCCAGACAATGGTGTAGGCTCAGGTCCTGTATGGGAGAGGCAGTGGCAGGAACCACAGCATCCCTGTGACACTCACACCCAACCTGACAGCAGTGTGTGTTCAAACAATGTGTAAGAAGGCCTAGTGGCGGGAATCCCATTTGTGTGATGGCAGCAGGTATTCCTTTCTGCCTCTGCTGTGGGGCACTCCTTCACGAGAGAGAGGGAAATGGCCTGGCTTTTTTTTTTTTTTTTTTTTTAACCACCAATTCTTTTAGCCATAGTGGCTGCTAGTAAGTTTCCATGAATAAGATGTGGTTGGACCTGGGCAAAATTCCTCTCAAAGCCTCCTTTGGTCATGAGTGCCTCCTGGCAGGGGTGGAGCAACAACCAAAGCTGTGGCATTGCTTAAAGTTACTCTAGCACACCTGTGAGAGCATGGCAGCAGTAGAACCACCGAATTCTTTTCTCACCCACTTAGTGGCAGGCACATATACACAGAGCTTGGGGGAGGGGAGGGTTGGTGGGAACCACATGGGTGACTGCCTTCAGTCCTGGCATCTAGTGAAAATCTGCATGCAACTGGTCACATCCCTGATCTCAGAGGGCAAGCTCTGCAATCTCCCCTTTCTTGAGGATAGTTTCCTCTCCATTCCCTTCCTTATCATAATACCTGTCCTTACTGTTCAGGGCACACAGTGGGTTTGATTCAGACCCACTCTACTGGGTCAAGTTTAGTTCACAAGACAAGTTTGGTTCAGGTACCCACTGAAACAGTGCAGTGGAATTTCAATGGCATCCCAGAGATGGGAATATTCCAGGGGCTTCTGTCCCCTGCAACAGCCCAAATTCACACAGTAGGTTCCTTTTCAAGGTGTCTCCCCACTGAAACCTTAGGTGCCATAGCCAGAAGATATGAAATCCTTTTCTAAAGCAAAGCTATTGTGCAGATTTCAGATTTCTCATCTAATTAGGCCACAAGCCTGTGAGGGTTGTGAAACTCTCCAATAGCTAGGATTGCCAGCATCCGCAATGATAGTTTGCTAGGACTCTATTTCTCATTTACCCCTGCAGAGGAAAGACACTCCATTTCCTGGCTACCACTCCCATCTGGATATTTTGTTTCTTACTATGCTTTTGTTGGATCTCTGAACCTACATGTTCAGATTCTCTTGCAGTGTGTTCCCATGATCATTTCCTCCACATGCAGCTATATACCTGTTGCTTTGGTTTTTCTTTGTGGAGGAACAGCCATCTTAAAATCCCACCCAACTGTGTTTGTTCCATAAATTTTTCTCAAGTCTTTATCACCAACTCCCGTTTTCTTGCTAGCATATGAGGCCAAACAGGAAACAAGATAGACTTAAGTGGAAAAATCAGGAAGTGCCTGCTTATTTTGATATTTGTAGCTATCTGTGCCTATGGTCAAAACTTATATGTTTCATAGATAATAATTATGTTTTCTGCTAGCAAAACTGTTCTTGATTATATAGTGAAACATATATATATTTGATCTCATGGTGCCCTGAAGAAAGCATTATAACTTCCAAATGCTTTAATAACATGATCTAGTTCATTGTGTTGGGCTTCTCCTTTGGTCTTTTCTGTTTTTACTAACTTGTCTATTAAGGTAGATGGTAGCGTAAACCAAAAAACACAAGAATAATTCATAAAGCAAAACGAACAGCGCTTACCTATAAAGAGCATCATGAGATACAGCCTTAGCACATATGGGAAATAGATGGAGAAGTCAAAAGGCAGCTTGGTGGAGTAAGTGCCAAACGATTCAAAATAAGGCAGCGACTGATAGATGGCAAATGCTGTTTAAAGAAAAAGGACATCATAAGGTTCTCCTCTTCAACATGTTCCAGGTTGTGTATATATGTCTCCCTAGTTGAATTTTTTGAATCTGACAGTTTTCTGATGTTTGCCGAATCCTCTAGCTAACATTATAGTATGGTATAGAAATTTCTGCTGAATAATCAAGTGAACAAAGCTGTTACATCAGTGTGACTTTCTGAATTTTTGTCCAGGATGTACTCTATTATGCTCACATGGAAAAAATTATAGGCATTTTTAAAAGGGTAATTCAAAATACTTCTGTGCCCCTTACCACAAATAGGAGTAATAATCAAATGAACTTGGGAGACGCTACATACTTTTTTCTCCTGGAATGGTACAACACACAATTAGCACAATAAAGGTCCTGAGAAATTTTGCAATAAAGAGACTAATAACACCCATTTTCTCAGACTATCTCCTCCTCTCTCACACAGCCCTATTAGTACTTAATAAAACTTCTAGGGAACTCATACCTGAAATGCTGGCCTAAATTATTTAGAAGAAGGAGGCTGGTGTCAAAAAGATGGAGACTTCATGAAACTGTATCCCATGTGTAGATTTTTAATAAAATATATAATTTTTTTCCATGAAATAAAACACTACCAGTGATGTGAGATGTTATCACTAGGGAAAGGATGAAAGGTACAGGGTAATTAGACACTAGTTCTGCAATTTTTTGTGAGTCCAACCTTATTTTAACATAGGAAAAGTCAAACGGATCTGCAATGGACACCAAACATGCCACCCAAGACTAACACGAGTTGCCCCTCAGTCTCTAGTATTTCATCATAGAACCAGTTGATCTGGTTATTTATATGAATTATGTTTTTCTTATATTTACCAGATGTAAGAACTGTGTTATTTAAATGAGTTATTAACCTATTAAAAGTTATCAAAAGTTAGTTTTCTTAACTACATATTCTTATCCTATGAGATATTTGAACTATATAGAAACAAAATCAGTCACCCATATTCCCTACCCAGGATTCATAACTGTTGACAATTTTGTCATGAATGCTTCTAGATTTTTTTCTGTGTATACTTCATAAGAATCAGTTTATGAATTTAATAAAAGAATATGGGTTGTATGACAGCCATGTCTTTCTTAGAAAGAGAAGGCTTAGAATTAACAATAGAATACATTTAGTCATCACTAGTTTTAAGAAGAGATTAATCATATATCTACTTTATTCCCTAATTTAAAATTTTTATTTTGGGTTTTATTAATTTTAATTAAAAATTATAACTGTATACACTCATGAGACAGGGTATATGTCTTGATATATGTATAAAATGTGGAATGATGAAACAAGCTAATTAACATACTCATCACCTCATTTATTTTTGGTGGCAAGACATTAGAAATTTACTTTCAACTATTTTAAAATAAATTATTACTAGCTACAGCCACCTTGCTGTGAAGCAGCTCTCAAAAATGTATTCATCCTAATTTAAGCTTTGCATGCTTTGACCAACACTCAGCCTAGCATTCCTTTGTATATTCTTTATAATGTTTTTTATGATATAACAAAGGAATGTGCTTAATGTTTAAATGAGTGAGAGATTTCATTCTTAAAGAAAGGGCAGTTTTATGGATTTTCAGGAAGATTATTCTCTAGGTTCTTTTGACATAGTCTATTCCAAAATTTAATAAATCTTCCTTTTGAAAACAAAGCAAATTTAAAAATTATATCTAATATGATTTATTATAACTTTAGCTCCTTTTCTCTGGTCAACAGTAGATAGAAAACATATGGCTTTATTTTACATACTGGTCTTTATGTACTTTATGATTATTGGCAACATCACCATCGTTTTATGGTGAATCTGTTTCTTTATGATTTCCCTTAGTTACCTCAACATGCATTCTTATTTTATGCCTTCAGTTTTCAAAAACTTTAATCGTCTTTTAGAAAGCTCCCTAGCAGTCTGCCAAATCCATTACAGAAATAAGTGTATATACTCCAAATATCTTCAAGTTCTTTGCAAGTTGATGATTTTTATTAAGTTTGAGGTTTATATTTTGGTTATGTAATTAACCTACTTGGTATTGGAGCTAACAATTCATTCTGTGTTTACTGAGCATGTATGATAGTGCATAAGAGAAAGGAAAAAAGCAAAGAAACAGACACACCCCATGGCTTCATAGAGCTCAAAATGCAGTTAGGGAACTGGATATTATTCAAAGAATCATACAAATGTCTAGTTAAAGCTGATAGGCCCTATAAAAAAAAAGAAATCCATGAAACCATAGTAGGAGGAATTTACTTAGTTGAGAAGTTTGTGAAGGCTTCTCTCAGAAAGCAATTATTCATCTCAAGGTAGAGGCAACTTGCAGGCAGAGGGAGAAAGGCATGGGAGATGGCAAGTGAGAAGAGTTTACCTAGGGTGAACAGAATTCCTATGCATGAAAAGTAAAAGCCGTAGATCATTGAGTCTCTAAGTACTAAACCCCTCTTTGAGAGGTTAAACGAGTTTCACAAAATTCATATAGTGAGTTAATGAAGTTAAGGGCTGGACTCAGATGTCCTTTGTTTCTTGTCCAGAGCTGCTTCCCTTTCCAACTTTGCTTTATGAAGCAAGGAAATATGCCAGGAAAGACACACTGAGTACGGTAAGCACTAGCACAAATAATTTAATCATCAAAATTTCAGTGAACGATTACAACGAGATGTTTTTATCAGTCCACAACACCTCATCACTCTTTCTTACCTTCAGCAAGAACACACAGGGGATAGATGGGCATCCACAGTGTTTGACTGAGCCATGTCAAGATGGAATAGTATGTTCCTATGACCGATAACATGCTATAAGTGTACCTGCAAGGAGACAAGGAGCTCATAAGTATCCTTTTTTGCTCGTGTCTGGGAAATAAAAGAAAATAACTTACTATATAACTAGATACAGGGATAAAACTAAAAGTATATTACTTACATACCTATTTTCTATGATTTTAAAAAATGGTCAGGGCAGGTGGGGACTGTGTCACTCTAGCTTATCTCATGGGGTAGATTGTAGATAATTATAGAATTGAACAGAGTAAGAATGTAATAGTAATCTCTTGGAGTGTAACAAACTCCTTGATTAGAGACTTCAATTTCATTAAACAGCCCAGCCCCATTTGATGCAGACAGCAGCTAGGTTTAAAAAAACCAAAACAAAAACTTTGGGGGATGAATTAAAATGACTTCCCAGATTCTTATTTGGGGTGTAGTTGTGGATCTTATGTGATCAGTTAATTAAAGGAACTGGCCTTGGGAGCTGGTTTGGGGTATAGTAGATAGCTTTAAACCTACCAGCGTGAAGTAGTAGAAAGTTTTCTACAAATTTTTATCTACTTGAATAGGCCAGTGGTTCCTAAGCTTAAGCATACAATGAGAATCAACCCAGGTAGCTTTTAAAGCACACAGGGCTGGGTCCTTCCGCCACAATTTGATTCAGCCGGTCTGAAGTACAGCCTGAGAAATTTGTGTTACAAGTTCCAGGTAAGACTGATGCTACCTGTCTAGGGATCACACTTTGAGAACAACTGGAAGAGGCAATAAAAATACATGACAAAACCCCCCCAAAGCTTGAAAACACAAACTGAAAAAAGTAAGTTTTTCACTCCAGTTTTTAGAAACAATGACCAATACCAGTTTCTTATGTAACCTTTCAGAAATGTTTTTGCATATGCTCTGTGTATATAATGTATGCCCGTGGTTTAAGCCCTTACTAACATAGCATGTTATGAAAGTTTTTAATCTTTACAACTTTCAGTGAAAAATTGGACCTTTTCACCCCCCTCTTATTAGAAAAAAGAGGAATGGGTAAGCATCTCACACATTTAAAAGTCATGTTGGAGGAAGTTCAATTTATTTCCTCTTTTGGTGCTTGTAGGTTTGGTGCCATATTTAATAATACATTGTCAAATCTGAAGTTATATTTTCTTTTAAGGCTTTTATATTTTTAGCTCTTACCTGTGAAGTAAGGTTCCAATTTCATTCTTTTGCATGTGGATATCAGTTGTCCTAGTACATTTGTTAAGACTATTCTTTCCCCCCATTGAATGGCTTTGGCACCTTTGTCAAAAATTAGCAAAAAATATGGTAGCTTACCTCTGCACTATTAGTTGTATTCCATGACTGATCCATATGCTAGTACTACACTCATAATAATTATTTCTTTTTGGTAAGATCTGAAATTGGAAGTGTGAATCCTCCAATTGCTCTTTTCTTTCTTCTTTTTTTTTTTTGGCAAGGGGGGTACTGGAGATTGAACTCAGTGGCAAAATTGACCATTGAGCCACATCCTCAGCCCTATTTTGTATTTTTTTAATTTAAAGATAGGGTCTCACTGAGTTGCTTAGCGCCCCGCTGTTGCTGAGGCTGGCATTACAGGCATGTACCACCACTTCCAGCCCCCCAACTGTGCTTTTTTAAGATTGTTTTGGCTGTTCTGAGTTCCTTCACTGTCCATGCAAATCTTAGATTCTTTGCAAAAATTGAGAAGCTGATCTTATCTGGCTGTGTCACTGTAGCATGCTGATTTTAAGTCCTGTGGGTATAGACTGAGGAGTGGGATAACTGGGTCAAATGGTGATTCCAGTCCAAGTTTTCTAAGGAATCTCCATACTACTTTCCATACTGTTTGCACCAGTTTGCAGTACCATCAGCAATGTATGAGTGAACATTTTTCCCCACATCCTCACCAACATTTATCATTACTTTGATAATTTCTATTCTGACTAGAGTGAGATGGAATCTTAGTGTACTTTTAATTTGCATTTTTCTAATTGCTAGAGATGTTGAAAATGTTTTCATATTTTTTGACCATCCATATTTTTTCTTCTGTGAAGTCCCTGTTCAGTTCCTTTGCCCAGTTATTGACTGGGTTATTTGTTTTTTGGGTTTTTTTTTTTTTTTTTTTTTTTGGTGTTAAGTTTTTTGAGTTCTTTGCATATCTTGAAGATTAATACTCTGAGGTTCAGGTGGTAAAGATTTTCTCCCATTCTGGAGACTGTCTGTCCACATTCTTGGTTGTTTCCCTTTGCTGCAAAGCAGCTTTTTAGTTTGATACCATCCCATTTATTGATTCATGATTTTACTTCTTGGACTTAAAATCAGCATACTACAGTGACACAGCCACATCAATGTTTATAGCAACTCAGTTCACAATAGCCAAGCTATGGAACTAGCCTTAGGTGCCTTTCAATAGATGAATGGATAAAGAAAATGTGAAATATATACACAAGGGAATATTACTCAGCCACAAAGAAAAATGAAATTATGGCATTGCTGGTAAATGGATGAAACTGGAGACTATCATGCTAAGTGAAATAAGCCAATCCCAAGAAAACCAAAGGCTGAATGTTCTCTGATATGTGGTACTAATAAAAGTAGATGGGAAGGGGAAGAATAGAAATTCATTGGATTAGACAAAGGGGAATAAAGGAAAGGGAGGGAGGATGGGAATAGGAAAGACAGAATGAATCGAACTTAACTTTTCTATACTCCTATATGAATATACAACCAGTGTAATTCCACATCATGTACAACCACAAGAATGTGATCCTAATTAGAATAAGTTATACACATACTGATATGTATAATATGTCAAAATACACTTTACTATCATGTATATTTTAAAAGAATAAATTTAAAAAGATTTAAATGATGAAAAAAAATAAGCTATCTTGGCTTCTCATGGATTGCATTGAATCTACAGATCAATTTGAGAGTATTTCCATCTCAGTGAAATTATACCTTCAACGTGGGATGTCTTTCTATTTAATAAGATCTTTCATTTTTTTAAAAAAAAGTTCTATAATTTTTATTGTATAAGTTCCTAATATCTTTTAAGATTTTGATTCCTAAGTACTACTCTTTTTGAAGTTGTTATAGTTTTCTAGATTTCATTTTAAGAAATGAAAATAGTTCATTGCAAATGTATAGAAATGCAATTGCTTTTTTAATTAATCTTATGCTATCTTACTAAATTAGTGGATCCCTTATGATTTATGTATATAAGATCACATCATCTGCCAATAGAGATGGTTTTACTTCTTTCTTCCCAATCTGATGACTTTTTGATTTTCTTAATTGCCATTTCTAGAATTTCCAGTACAGTGATGAGTAGAAGTGGCAAAAGTGGACATTCTTCTCTTGTTTCTGAGGAGTGACTGCTAATGGATATGGGAGAATGTTCTTAGATTAAACAGTGGTAATGGTTGCACATCTCTTTGATTATACTAAACTACACAAATTTTAAATTTTAAAAAATGTGATATTCTTAAGACCATTTAACAAGTAAGTAGTAGGTATGGGTTTCATCTAGATATTGCTGACCTCTATATCCAAAATTTCCATGATAGTTTGTTATCACCATCAATACAAAGTTGGTCTCTGTTGGGTCTATTAAGCTCACTGAGACTGAACCAACACTGAAGTTTGCTTGTAGTCTGCAAAACTATTTTAAAAATGTTTAATAAATTACTATGTACAAAGAATTAGTTTAATTCAAAATATTTCATTCTTCTCTCTAGGACTCAACCCATTATTTAGATATATTTGAATCTACCCAAGTTACTGGCAATATAATAAAAGCAGAATTTGTATAACCTCAGCTAAAAATCTCAGGCTATTCTGTGACCAATTCACATCTAATTCTTTCAAGTAGGGGAGAAACTATTCATTTGAAAGCTGAAGTGGCAGTTAGAACACCTCCCCAAAGAGAGGTATGAGGGCTCACTGATAAAGGTGAGAGTCTTACACCAAAGAAAAGTCTGGGCACATCTCATTACAGTTTTAGAATTATAAGGAAACTGAAGACTAGACCAAGAATTCCCAGGGGTTCCATGAAAGGACTTCAGTTAGTCGTTTGAACCCACTGGAATTGCTTACAAAACCTGATGTGGAGGTGCATTTTTTCCCCTGAAAGGTGAGGTCCTAAGTTTAAAATATCTAAGTCCGCAGAAACCAACTTTGTAAATTCTGACAATGATATAAAAGTTCTGCTTTGCTTGTTAAAGTAACATGTAAGGAACGCCTTTCATTAGCAAACAGCTGTGAGATTTATTTCAAGTTGGTGTTATGCCAAGCCTTGTGCTGGAATCCTGAATGCACTGATTTGCTCTTGTAATACCACGGTAGGTTTCCATTATCTTTGATATGCCCATTATGGAAAGCACTAAAAATACATTTCCATATCAAGATAAAATAATTTGAAAAGAGGTTATGCTTTTCTGTCTCATTCAGAGTAACCAAATGTAAGCAGCTATTACTAGTATTGAAAGCAATCTGGACTTGTTTTAAGAGATTATTTTGCTTTCTTACCTAGCCATATCCAACAGATTCCAAAAGATGAATAAAACACACACCACATATTTCTCCTGGATTTCCTCTTGACTGGTGATCACCACAAAAAGAATGACTATTCTCTCTGTGAGCTAACAAAGAAATGGCAAAGTCAAGAATTAGGATCATTTGTTAGGCCATATAAGTAATTTTCTACTTTTAAAATCCAGAGGGTTTTTTTTTTAAAAGTATGCTTTAACTGGAACTATGTATACCAAAATGTTAATAATGACTATTCCTTAGGGAGTTGTGTTATGGGTAAATTTCATTTCCTCCTGTTTGTTTTTTTTTAATTTGTACTTTCCAAATTATATATAATGAATGAAAAGATAACATTTTATCAGGATATTTCTTTTTCTTTCCATAGGCACACATGTTTCTATTCACTTTGGCAATCTTTATTGAGTGTTCACTATGTATTAAATGCTGTAATGAAAACATGGTCCTTGCTCCAGAGAGGGTAATAGTGGAGGGAGAATGTGGAGCAATAACTGATGTGGAAATGTATGTGCTATGGGTGGAGGTGGGGTGGCACAGGTGAGGGAGATGCTTGCTGCCTGGAGAAAGAACACAGACTTATGAAGACAGGCAACTATTCAACTGGATTTTAAAAAATGAATGAGTGTATCAAGTAGACTGGATTTGAGAAAGGGCATCTTGGGCAAAGGGAACAGTCTGAACAGAGGTGTAGAAATGCAGGGTGTTTGGGGAGGAGTAAGAACCACTGAGAAACTGTAGGGGAGGGTGCAGAGAAGGGAAAAACAGGGAAGAATAAATTGAAAATGTGTTTAGGGCTGAGTTGTAAAGGGTTCTGAATGATAGGCCGAGAAATTTTAATTTCATCCAATAGAGAAGCTATTGTAGTTTTGGGGGAGGGAGGGAGAAGGGGAGTAATATAATCCTAACCTTCAAAAGCTAGTGGAAAATGAAGAAAATTTAACACATTCTTGGAATACATACATATATTCAGTAAGCATTTCCAAATCATTGAGAATTCACACATTTTTGGCTTACCTCCAGTTACCAGCCTCAAAAAAAAAAAAAAAAAAAAACTCTTTCTCCACCTAAATATTAAGTGCTTTCTTATGTTTCATTAACATATCCTGTATAGTCTACATTTTTTGGCACTTCATAGGACATTTTACTTTGCTCTTGATGGTCAAAAGAAAGTAGATTTGAGACTGAAGGAACATACTCATAGGAAAAGAAAACATAAAAGGTTCGCTTTATGTTTTTCAATAGCTGCCTTTATTTTAAAAGCTGATTAAGGAGAAAATACTGGAACAATCTGGCCATTTGTCCAGGAAAACAATCTAGTGTAGAAAAATCCAAGATTTGCCAACAGTGGGTCACGTGATTAGAAGTCCACATGTATAAGCTATCTCAGCATGTGTGTGACCACAGAGGTGAGTCAAAAGGGCCCTAGCTTAGCTAAGGGGAATTAAGACATGATTCAAACCTGAGTCAATCTGTGGATACTATCTACATAGCAGTTTTTCTTTGGTCAGTGTTTATAATATAGTACCCTTGTTTCTTAATTATATAATGAATTCTACTGAGCTGCAAGTATAATTATGATCCAACCTTGCTGTCATTTAAGTACAAGCTGTAAGTACTGAGGCACAATCTTACATTTTATCAATGCCTGGTAATTAGGAAACCTTGCTTTTTGCTAAAAATCTCAGGGGAGACACACATGAACACATGCATACAACACAGATTTCTAATCACATGGCCAACTACTGAAAAAAATGTAGATACCTCTTAATTAGGTGATCTCTAGAGTCCCCTTCAGATAAAATATTCTGACACTAGTCCAGCCCCGCCTTTTTACGAATAAAGAATTTGGGAAACAAAGAATTTAACTGACATACCCAGGTCAGGAAACATGTATCTTAAATCTCCAGAGTTGTAAGCTGTCCGTGATGTCAAGCTGACCTTTAGGTGATGAGGACAGATGGGAAAATCTCCTGAGAGAGACTGGAGCTACAGGATGAGACTCACTCCATTGAAAATTGTCAAGTGAAGTTCTGTGGCATATTAGCGATGGAATCCCAGTTGCATAGAAATCAGCAATTGACATGCCCCCAAATACAATCCACAACACATACACATACGTGTGGGTATGTAATCAAAATACTTCCTGCATATACAATATCAATTTTTGTGTGTGTATGTGTGTGTGCTGGGTATTGAACTCAGGGGTGTTTAACCACGGAATCACATATTTTAGCAATGTGAATGGAAATAAGCACCTGTTTCATAGCTAAAAAGAAAATTTTATTTTGAGACAGGGTCTCATTAAGTTGCTTAGGCTGGCCTTAAACTTGTGATCCTAATTGGCCACTCAATGACAATATAATATAATAGGCAGAGATGTTCTTAAGTTGATAAAAGTCAACATTTATGGGTTACTTTTTGCCAGGTTCCAAACAAACAGCATCTCAATCTCCATACTGACCGTAAGAGGTGGCTACTATTACTGTTTTACAAAAGTCACTTTACTAAGTTAAAGTGACTTGCTTACAGGTCTAGCATCAAGATCTGCACAATGCAATTCTAAATCCCCGGTTGTGAAACATTGACTCTCACCTTTGTTACTTGGTGAACTACTCCAGAACCTCACATCCAGCAGACAATCTACTCTCTAAAAGAAAGTTTCCTTTGAAATTATACCTTAAGACAATAGACTCCTTGATTTCTTAAATCAACACCAAATCAATTTTGAGGAAAAGATTTTTTAAACTTATTTTCTTTGAGATTTACAATTTGGAGAACTAAGCACTATTTTATTTTTAATGAATCCTAGGACTATCTGATTATTACTAATGAATGGTCTTGTAATGTTGAGTATAACTCAAACGGAGAATAAAAGGTGTAGTAGTAGTAATCATAGTAGAAATCCTATCATTTATGCCACATTAAACCTGTTAATATTTATTCAAATGTATGGTAGCCACAAAATAAGAATACTTTGCATTTTTATGTTCTGTTTTGGAATCCTAAACTCCAGGTTAAAACAATAAATGAAGCTAGGTTATAAGTGGCAGGTAGCACTTTATAAGCTGAAGTGCTAAAGAGGCAAAATACTTCAAATGTAAGGAGATTTTCTGGAATCTTATAAATTAGTTTTAGTCTCTGACTTTTACTAAAATGATAACCCAAGCTTTCTATTCTGTGAACTTTTGGGAAACTTCAGAAATATCTTTATATATTAAAAAAATCACCAACTACTTTCCCTGCAAGATCAAAGCATTTAAATAATTCTCTATATATTTGTTTATTCATTCTTCCTCTAATAGATAATTATGGAGAGTACTGGTACTGTTCTGGGTACCAGAGGACATAGCTGTAAATAAGACCAAATCCCTGCTCTTACAGTATTTGCATTCTACTTGGTAAAATGTAAACAAATGTAGCTTAAACAAATTTTTACTATAAGTTACATAACCTTTGTGTTCTTCAGTAATTGACTTTTGTGTTAAGTAATTTTAGAGATAATGCTTAGTGTCTATCACATAGGAATTAAAAATAGGAAAAAGTTGTTCTAAAGAGTGTTAATGCATATAAAGAACTTAGAAAAGTGTTTGGTGCATAGACCTAAATATCAGTTATGATTACATATAATTTAATGTAGTGATTAGTGTATTTAGAGGAAAACATTTTCTATATAGATAATCCAATCCATGAATTTTAAAAGTCAATTTCAGCATTTATTAAATTACACTATAAATATAGGTTTGTACTTATCACACTAAGTAACTCCTTAGATCTAAAGTACAAAACAGGAAAAATCTAAAACCTTACTTACAGAGTGAATTATATGTATAATTAATTTCCAGGAGGCTTCAAATTTGGGGAAATCTTACTGTTCAACACTATCTTCAACAGTTTTATCTCTAACGATTATAAGCTTATTCTCAAAACTTGAGAGAAATCTATGTGATTTTATGAGAATTCAAAAGATTAGCCTAGCAATGCATATAAGCACCTGCTTCACAACTAAAAAGAAATTAAGAGTGAAACCTACCTAGTTGTTTTCTTAAAAGAGAGTAAGACACTCTCCTTGGGAATGCCTGCATATCTGTTTTGTTAACTTGGAAAGCTGCTGCAGGAGAATCTCAAGTTGAAGACCAGCTTTGGCAACTTAGTGAGACCATGTCTCAAAATAGAGTGAAAAGGGCTGGCGATGTACCTCAGTGGTAAAGTACCCTTGGTTTTAATCACAGAACAGAGACAGGAGGAGAGTCTGTGACTGTGACATCTTTGGAGTGAGTTTTAGACAGCAAGCTTGTCCTTGACAAATAGGAGTGGATATGGGCAAATATAGAAATGGTTCATACAGTTTGGTTTCAAATGAAATTTTTGTAAGCATAATAATTTAAGGGTAATAATTGCTAGTGTTTTGATTTACAGATTAAAGGAATTGTATAAAAATGTAAAATGAATACATATGCAACAGTGTTTAGGAAGGAAGGATGTGGAATTGATCCATTTTAATTCAGTTATAAAGGAAGTATTTACATTTAAAGCATTTCTCAAAAAATAAAATATTACTCTTACATTACTTATATCTCACTATCATACAAAGTGTATCAGTCTAACATTATCATACAAAAGTTATTTTTTGGCTATTTCCTCTCTTCTTGAGTTCAAATGTCCTAAAGTCGTATCAATAAGCTTTCTCAGGCTTCTGCACAAATGGAGTATGAACACAGCCCTTAAAATATTTCAGAATTGGTAATATTCAAATTCTCTCTAAGTTTATTTTCCTTTTAATTAAATTTTCTTTTGTATTTTAAAACATTTTTATATAGTTTTAATTGGCATGTGCCTATTTCCAGAAATAGAAGTTCTAAATAGCTATTCATGTTATGTTTTTTCCCTTTCCTCCTAAAGTATATTAAAAATAAAATATATATCTGTTAAATGCTTGTCTTATAAATCAATGGTGTTTTCCCCCACATTTTGCTTTAGCAATTATGTGATTTTTAAAATCATGTCTCTTCCCACAGTGCCAAAATAAAGATGTTAGTGTAAAATGCACAGAACACAAACTTACTCCTATTTCTACACCACTAGTACTTGCTAAGGGATTCTAACTATTCAAAAAGCTTATCCATCCCTACTGCTAGTTGGAATTATTTATCTTGACATTTTGCAAGACCAGTCCCCCAAAAGAATTCAGTTGTGGCTTAGCAATCTCTTAAAGGTAATATCAAAATGACATCACAACTGTGTGAACGTGATTTAGGGCCTCCCTTGAAAACATCTGGGAACCCTGCATTTTTAAGATCTGCATGCAGTCAGCTATGATGATCGTGCAAGTCACTTAGTTGCTCTCCTGCCTTCAGCTTCTCCATTTAAAATGGAAAAACAGGAAAACCAACAATGATTACACAACCTAAGAGTTTTGTTTCATTACTTTATAGCAGAGGTCTCAGTCATCTCATAATGAGAGAATTCTATTTGTTTGCAGAACTCTCATAAAGGAATGGGGCAGAAAATGAAACTTTGCACAAGATGATGTGTTTTGAAGCTCTGTTAACACCATTTTCATTCTGAAAACCAGTGAATAAAAGAAATAGAGGGTAGTGGTGCACTCCCATAATCCCAGCAGCTCGGAGGCTGAGACAGGAGGATTGTGAGTTCAAAGCCAACCTCAGCAAAATTGAGGTGCTAAGCAACTTAGTGAGACCCTGTCTCTAAATAAAATACAAAATAGAGTTGGGGATGTGGCTCAGTGGTCAAGTGCCCCTGAGTTCAATCCCCAGTATCCAAAAAAAAAAAAAAAATAGAGAGCATGTGACAATATCTTAAAAGAAATTTTAAAAGTAAGCAAAACAACAACACACAAAAAAACTAATAATCAGTCCAGGAGAAGAATGGCAGTTGTTCTCCCTAATGTGGTGATTACTGACTTGTCATCCCTCCTAAGGACCAAAGACTTAAGAATCATTTGTTTTATTAACAATAGACTTTGCAAATACACTTTTAAGTCTAAAGTGTTAATGTTTGTTTATCGTTATTTCAAAATTACAATTAGGACTAACCTCTTGGATTTCAGTGATGGTTCTATAAACCATTAGTTTTAATTAGTGGTGATTAAAATCACATTTAAATTTTCTGGAACTCCAAGAAATCATATTTCTAAGTTTTATGATTTCTGTTAAGCAGACCTACAAAATTTTGCACAGCATAAAATATGTGCATATTTTCCAGGCATATTCTAAGTACTCATTCAGTTCTTCTTATGGTTACGCATTCTCACCAGGTGTACTAACTGAACTAATACTACTTAATTTTGAAAATGCTGTTTTAGCATGAAGTCAGTATTAACAAATATAGCATAAAAAAATAAAAAGTCCCTAGAAGTATACCAAAAGAAAACACGAACATGAACAGACACTTCTCAGAAGATGATGTACAATCAATCAACAAATACATGAAAAAATGTTCATAATCACTAGCAATGCAAATCAAAACCACTTTAAGATTTCATCTCACTCCAGTCAGAATGGCAACCATTATGAAGAAAGACAACAATAAGTGTTGGTAAGGATGTGGGGGAAAAGGTACACTCATACACTGCTGGTGGGACTGCAAATTGGTGCAGCCAATATGGAAAGCAGTATGGAGATTTCTTAGAAAATTGGGAATGGAACCACCATTTGACCCAGCTATCCCTCTCCTTGGACTATACCCAAAGGACTTAAAAATAGCATACTACAGGGATACAGCCACATCGATGTTTATAGCAGCACAATTCACAATAGCTAAACTATAGAGCCAACCTAGATGCCCTTCACTGGATAAATGGATAAAAAAATGTGGCATATATACACAATGGAATATTACTCAGCAATAAAAAAGAATAAAATCATGGCATTTGCAGGTAAATGGATAGAGTTAGAGAAGATAATGCTAAGTAAAGTTAACCAATCCCAAAAAACCAAATGCCGAATGTTTTCTCTGATATAAGGAGGTTGATTCATAGTGGGATAGGGAGCAGGAGCATGGGAGGAATAGACAAACTCTAGATAGGGCAGAGGGGTTGGAGGAGAAGGGAGAGGGAATGGGGTAATTAATGATGGTGGAATGTGATGATCATTACTATCCAAAGTACATGTATGAAGACACAAATTGGTGTGAATATACTATGTATACAACCAGAGATATGAAAAATTGTGCTCTATATATACAATAAGAATTGTAATGCATTCTGCTGTCATATAAATTTTAAAATTAAATAAAAATAAAGAAAATATGATTTAAGATTTTTTATGAATTTGATCATATTACAAGCAAAATAATTCCATATGATAGAATAGAACTTTAGAACTTTAATTTAACGTGGCCTGTTAATTCTGTCCTCCAAGACCAACATTATGAGATAGTATTGCTAATTTCAGTTGTTTCAAAGTACAGCATGCAATGTTAAATAATTCATAAATACAAATAAGTTGTCTTACGAAATTACATGTTGCATCTATGACAGATCTGTAGCTTTTTATTTTGTGAGGAAATATACTGAAGGAAATTCCATTTAGGTCTTAGCTAGTTAACTATTATAATATTAATCTATTATATAGGATTGCCATGATTTTATTTTACATTTGAACATTTTAAAATGTCTTCATTCTATTCTCCAAATAGTGATGAAAGGAAATCTGGGAATTTATTTGTTAATCATCTGCTCTTTTCCATTCATTCTAATGAATACAACTTCTATTTAATAAGTAAAATGAAAAATATCCCATAAACTTGTAATACTGAGTTGTTACTTGATTCCTTAGGATTATATTCCCAGTTTCACCTTTTAAACTTTCATGGTATTTAAAGCAAATTTTAGTACAGGGACTATATCTTATTCCTTCAACAAAAAATTAAGCACTTTGCTAAACAATATAAGACTGACATTTTAATGATTTTTACAATGCAAGTTTGGCATAGTTATACACTTTTTAAATTTGTTTTGGGGATACCTAAAATTATACTCATAGATACCTATTCCCAATCCTGGAGATTATGAACACATGTTTACATAGTCACCTAACCCTTATTTCCACTCTAAGAAAAATGCTACTTCATGGTTTTTCTTGCCTTAATCCAGATTTTCTATTGAGTATCAGTAAATTTCCAATCTACTTTCCACCTGCCTTTAAAAAGAACATGGTCATCTAGGGCTAAAGGCCTGGTAGAGGAAACAAATAATAGCTAAAATAATAGCAATGACTAACAAGTATTTTATTTTAACTAAGTACCAGGAACTTTCCCCACCCATGTTCTCAGTTATTCTCTTAAGTCCATGTTATTCTCACATCATGAGAAAGTCAGGGTCAGAATGATTAAACAACTTGTGTAAATTCATGCAACAAGAAAGAGGCAAAACTGGGATTCGAATTTAAGTCAGTGTGACCCCAAGTCTATGCTTAGATTCTATACTTGGTAAACATGAATCATTTTCCTTTTCCATTTGAATTCAGTAAACGTGGTAGAATGAACAAGAAATGGCTGGGAGTGTTCTCCAAATAGGGATGAAAGGAAATCTGGGAATTTATTTATTAATCATCTGCTCTTTTCCAGTTATTTGTATGGTGTCCTCTCCCAGCAACACCCCAATGACTGTGGGTAGAATAATCCCACAGTAATCAGTAGAAGAGCAGGGCATTGTACTCGGGTGTAAATGGCTTCAATCCTAGGACTTTCTGCTGTCTCATACTATCCCAAGCTATGACATGCTGAGGGTGGGAAGTGGCCCTGAAATCTCCCAGGATAGGATCAAGGAAGTACACAGATCAACGCGCACCACTGCCTTGAATGTTTCATATCAGCTGACCTAACTGCAGTTTTAGAATAAGACAATCCTTCTGTGTAATGGATTCTCCTTATCAGTGACTTCAGGGTTGGCTTTTTTTGAGTGCCATAAAATGAAAAGGCTGTAAATAGGACAAAGTTAAAAATGAAAGATTCTATAATAATGTGACTGAAACCTACCTGCAAAAACCTTGGAAAAAGATGGTTTGATTCAATGCCAACATATATGTGCAGCAACTCCAGGAGAGAAATGGATTGGCAAAGTCGCATGACAAGTCCAATAGCATAAAAAGTGTCAACCATTGAATCTGTCCAGTGGATAAAAAATACAAATAAAGTAAAAACCAGTTCATGATGCAAATCCATGCAACTCTTTGAAATAAAGTTGAGATCATTTACCTCTTTTTATCGTACATGTAAAAAACTCTTCAAATAGGCTACTACATTAAGTCTGCAATGCAAAGAAAGCACTTTGTATTGTAGTATACTTTGATCCCCTTCCAAAATGAAGTACAATGTAAGGCTTCACAGTGAAGGCTGCACTATTTATTTCCCATATATGAGATTATAAAGGAATTCCCACATAAAGGTAATCAGCTGGATTCTAAACCACCTGGAGCATAAATAGGTTGGAGGTGAGCTTCTAATAGCTGTTGTGCTCAGCTTTTCCAATGACAAGAAAATGACCAAGATGAGGAAAAAATATTTCAGAGAAGCTTTATGGAAATGGCCTTAATGATGCTATGATATCAGATACTAAGTGTATCGAGCATGTGGTTCCTATATGTACCTGCCTAGTGTTTTCTGGATTTGTGCTAAACCCTGAACTTGGGTTCTGATCAGGACTTTTGGAGTTTGTACTTCAGAAGGCTCAACTGAGGTACTGCCCTTGGAGTGGAAGGGTAATAAATGTCCCTCTAAATAGGATACATTTGGCTTTAAGTTTTAAAATGAAATTCTGCCTTTTTTTTTTTTTTTTTTTTTTTTTTTTTTTTAGAAACTTCTAGGTGTGACTGTGCTGACTTTGGTACCTAGTGTTCATTCAAACAATAACGGATCAAGTGCCGAGGGTCTCTCAGCTGCTGCAGCAGTTGGACACTGTTAACATCACCCTGATTTCCGATGATTACCGATTCATACCACCTACCCTCTTCTGCATTGCCTGCACCTCTTGTAACCAAGCTATCAATGACAGAGCTCTGTGAAGGAAGAGGGGAGGAGGAATCCCAAGTTCAGGGTTTCAGATTGCTGCTGAGCTATTTAAGTCATACACTGATTCAGGAATTATACTGAACCCCCATTCACATGTTCTCAGTCTCCCTTTCATATAAATCAGTTGTATTTCTTTAATGAGTAGCTACTGTAATTATAATGACATGATAATATTAAGAATAAACACTGCTGACCACAGCAACTTTCCCCTCTGGAAACGTGAGACAGCGCTAGAGTTCCTGGGGACATGTATGGTGACTGACCTACAATAATACTCCCACACAGCCTCAACTTTCAAGGCCTAGACTGATGGCTTTTTTTTTATTATAAACATCAAGGGAGTTTTCCCATCACCTCCGTTTTCCTCTGCTTGAAAACTCTCAACGCTCATAGTTGAAATTCAAGCCTTAGGTTGTATCCTTGACATTAATTCACAAAGGCGAGAATTCATCTGTAGATTTTTGTGAGAAAAAGCAACATAAAATGGCTTATGGTATCTCAGAAGTAGATTAATTTCCTTATGATACAGAATTGATGAGCACAGCATGGCATGTTTGTTTTTTAGCTGAAACCAGCAGTTGCTCAAACTGTCAAGTCACCCAACAGTTGTAAACTGTGATGACACTTACTCATGTGGGGATGGAACATGAAGAGAATGTTATTGACAGTCATTTAATGATTCATTCTTTTAAAAAAGAAGAAGAATTGAAATGCTCTTTGCTTTTTTAAAACGATATCTTTACTTTTTAGGAAAAGCGAGGAAGCTTATGATTAAAGCCATTATTGCCACTTTCCAGGTAGATGATTAGTCATCTACAAAGCATGTCATTTATACACTACTTAGGAAGGGGATCAAATAGAGTCCTGGGGAGTATAAAGTTTGTTATTCACTTACTAGTGAATAACAAAGTCTCCAGTTAAACCTAAGGAATAAAAAACACTGGAAGAATTTGATCAACTCCTGGTTGCTCCGCACAAAATGCAATACTGGAATTTATAGATTTCCTCAGTGCACACCAAATTTGCGAGGGTTTAATGCAGAACCAAAAGAAATGGTGAAATGGCATTTCTGCCTAATCAGAGCCAAATCTCTTTCCATTATCCCATCTTCTCCCTTCTCCAAAAAGTTTTTGATTTTGTAATAAGCAGGATGTATGATTTCTGAAAAACATGAATTTTAGAGAAGTAGAGGATGGTAGGTGAGCTCCAGAGAAATTTAAAATTAATATAAGCAACTCTAGGCAAAAACAAGGTGCAGAAGATTAAAATAAACTGAGTTTTACCTTTTCCAAATGAAAAGAATCTGACTGTCATATTTGTAAGTATCCATGAGTGGCCACAGAACTGGATTAAATAATAGATGAAAAGATAGGCAGTCTTTCTATACCTATAAATACAGGAAAATACCATTAAACACTTGTTCTATTATTAACCTTTACATCATTGTACACAGGTCCTTTAGCATACTGGTCACCTGACAAGCAAAAATCAAAACAAAACAAAACAACAACCCCAAAACCTGTTATCAGAGTATTTTAATCAGTGGCTCCACAAAACACATCAGATTTTAAAGGGACCCATATCATATACTATCTGCTAAAGTGAGTATATTGAGTCTGCTTAAAACCAAATACAGATCTTTTTTGATTTTCATCTTTGATAAAATTCTAACCTTGCGGCTAACCCAGGAGTAAAAGCAACATCTTCAAAGATAGCTTTGAATATTTGGTGTGGTTGTGGGGGGGGGCACATGAGTGTAGAAGGATTGATATGTTCAATGTGTGCTCCAGAAGCTCAGCCTGCTAAGCGCAGAACTTAACTGGGTGATACTTGTGAGCAGGGAGTAGTGATGGTCACTGTCTCAAATGGTGGATAATTCAGTAATTGGGCACACGGGACCTCTGAATGCATTATGCGATTGGGGTCAGTATCTTGCCACTGCCTTCTATTATATTTTGCAAGGGCAGATCGTTTCCTTCATCAGACACACATAGATGTTTAGTTGCTCATGCCAAAAAAGGGAAGTCAAGCTGGGTTTAAAAATGTGTTGTGGGTTGCTGGGGAGATGACTAAGGGAAGATTGACAGATGCACGATATGAGGGAGTTTGAGAAAGCATTGTTTGAAGTGTTCCCTGGGGGTTTCGAAGGATGGTAGGAGTGGCCTTGCCAGTGCAGACAGGGTTTTCTCCAAGTAGGAAATGTGAAACCTCTGAGAAACAAGGTAAATTAGCTGAGGAGCATGCCAAGTCCCTGGGTGATCAACAGATGACGTAACTAAAGGGGCTGAAAAGAGGAAATCCTCCAAGTTGCCTCAGAATCACCTGGCTTATGGGTTAAAAATACACAGGCCTTACCCTTTCCTAGTGCACCGAATCAATTTCCCTGGAATCACACGTGTGATAGGTGTTTCAGTGAGATTAAAACTCCCCCTGCAACACTTGCCCTACAACAAAGTCAAGGGCAGGGCTCTTGGTGGGGGTAAAGAGGAAGGGCAGAGGGACTGGCAGAAAGAGCCCAAAGGGAAGAGGTGGCCACACAGCCTGTCCTTCCCATTTCCTCATCTCAAAAATGGGGAAAAGAGAGCCTTCTTCCTAGGACTGTCAAGAGAATTAATTAAGGATAATACCTGTCTAGAGCTCCAGGGAGTGCGGGCCAGTAGGGGTGGGTGTCGCAGCTGGGCTGGTGAGTGTCCCCGACTGCTAGATCCCCCGCCTCGGCCGGCGGCCCCTCCTCCCGCCCGGCCCCTCCTGTCCCCTCCCACCTCTGTGCACCCTACCTGGGCTGCAGCCAGGCAGGCAGCGCCACGGGCCCCATGGGCCTCCACCACCAGGATCTCCAGCGCCGTCCGGGAAGGAGCCTGGGCGGGCAGGCGCGAGGGGCTGGCCGCTGCGGGCGTGGGAGGGCGGGGCCTCTCTACACTCAGCAATTTACAAAAAGAAAAACCAGAGGTCTTGCGATGGGCAACAGATAAAAATTTAAGTTCCTGCAGCGCAGCACTAGGAAGGGCTGGCAGGGAGTGGAAAGTGTGGGAGACTGCAGCCAGCCAGGCTCAGGAGCAACCTGGGTCAAACACATCTGCATTCCCAGCGGGCTTGCCCGCTCTGGTTACCAGCTCCCATTTGCTAACCCCGTGGAGATTTACACACCTGGGAGACTTTTGGGGCTTTGAAACCTGCTGAAGGCCATCTCAAAGCCTCCGAGGATGCGTGCGGTAGGCACCTTAATTACAACCTTCACAGGCCAGAAAGAAAGATGTGGTCATATCTCCCAACACCTTTTCCAAAAAGGTTCTTGACTTCTCCAAGAATCTGTCTTTGCCCTTGAATATCCCTGAGTCCTTTTTTATTGATGTTGTATTAACATCCCTCTCCTATGCCCAGCACTTGTAAACCTTCTACTGAGCTCTCAGTACTATGGCATTATCATCTCCATATTCAGATGGTCCATCTCATACTTTGCTGATAAGATCTTTTTTTAAAAATTTTTTTATTCTTGGTTGTTCAAAACATTACATAGTTCTTGATATATCATATTTCACACTTTGATTCAAGTGGGTTATGAACTCCCATTTTTACCCCATATACAAATTGCAGAATCACATCAGTTACACATCCATTGATTTACATATTGCCATACTAGTGTCTGTTGTATTCTGCTGCCTTTCCTATCCTCTACTATCCCCCTCCCCTCCCCTCCCCTCTTCTCTCTCTACCCCCTCTACTGTCATTCATTTCTCCCCCTTGTATTATTTTCCCCTTTCCCCTCACTTCCTCTTGTATGAAATTTTGTATAACCCTGAGGGTCTCCTTCCATTTCCATGCAATTTCCTTCTCTCTCCCTTTCCCTCCCACCTCTCATCCCAGTTTAATGTTAATCTTCTTCTCATGCTCTTCATCCCTACTCTGTTCTTAGTTACTCTCCTTATATCAAAGAAGACATTTGGCATTTGTTTTTTAGGGATTGGCTAGCTTCACTTAGCATAATCTGCTCTAATGTCATCCATTTCCCTGCAAATTCTATGATTTTGTCATTTTTTAATGCAGAGTAATACTCCATTGTGTATAAATGCCACATTTTTTTATCCATTCGTCTATTGAAGGGCATCTAGGTTGGTTCCACAGTCTTGCTATTGTGAATTGTGCTGCTATGAACATCGATGTAGCAATGTCCCTGTAGCATGCTCTTTTTAGGTCTTTAGGGAATAGACCTAGAAGGGGAATAGCTGGGTCAAATGGTGGTTCCATTCCCAGCTTTCCAAGAAATCTCCATACTGCTTTCCAAATTGGCTGCACCAATTTGCAGTCCCACCAGCAATGTACAAGTGTACCCTTTTCCCCACATCCTCGCCAGCACTTGTTGTTGTTTGACTTCATAATGGCTGCCAATCTTACTGGAGTGAGATGGTATCTTAGGGTGGTTTTGATTTGCATTTCTCTGACTGCTAGAGATGGTGAGCATTTTTTCATGTACTTGTTGATTGATTGTATATCAGAACGATTTTACAGCTACTCTGTCCTGTCAGGGAAACAGGACAAAACAGAACAACAAAAACAAAGAAACAGACAAGTTAGTACAACAACTAGTTGCAAGTTAGTACCAATAACATTCAGTTCCTGTGGGTGGAAGGAGTGTCCCCATTTTATGGGAAGGGAAGTTGAGTCTTGAAAATGTTGCCCCCACTGATAAATGACAGTATTCGTAAAAGTTCAGTTTATTTTATTTTTTAATTGTTAGGACTTAGTTTTCTTCCTCATAGTCAAGTCACTACAGTCACCTCTCACATCTGCAGTTCTCTGCACCTTCTCCCAGCCCCTGCCTTCAGCCCCCTACATCTACCAGTCCCTTCTTAAACCCTATCAGTTGTTACCTCTGCCACTTTTTTATTCTCCTCTTTCTATCGGCTTTCATCAGTTTAGGAACATACTCAAATCTTTTACCCTAGAATTAAACATTTATTCTGCTCCTCTCCTAATGCAACGTTCCCATAATTCCCCACCTGCTGTCTCTGTGAGACATTCCTTTCATTCCTTACCATCCTCTTATTCCATAACACCTTACAATTTGACTTCCCAACTCTCTTCTGGAACTGCTCTCCAGGGCCCTCAAATCCCCATCCTGTTTCCCTCTGCTAAATGACCCCACAGTCCTTGCTTTTGGGGAGCGTTAGATCTAAAGAGCAAACAGATACCCAAGCAAACACTGGTGGATAACCCATTACCAAGGCCATTGGTGCCCAGGTCAAGCAACAAGAGAAAGTCAGTCCCAGATGACCTGGAGTGTAGAGGGAAGAAGGTAAGTTGCCCAGAAAAAGTGGTCCTTTGCCCCCAAACACAGCCCTGGCATCCACATCCTCATCCTCCTCAACAAGTCTGCATTTTACGTTCTTCACCTCCCTTACTTTTACCTTAGCAACTCTGAAAATTCTAGGCTGTTCTTTCTATTCTGTAGGTGGCTCCCTTTCTCCTGCTCTTTTTCCTCAGAGATCTACCTTTGGTCAGTCATTCTTTTTTGGTCTGTCACCATGTTATCCTTCAGCACAGACACCCACCACCGTGGTTTTATCACCTCGCAGACAACTTCTGACTGTATTATTGGCATCCTACTTCTTCTCTCAGGAACATCAGCTCTGGCCTTTGAACAACTTGTGGATGCTTCTTCATTTCTTCTACTTCCAATTCAACCTATTTAAAATAAGCTCAACCTTTTTCTTCCCAAATCATTATCTTATTTCCCACAGGGAGACCATGTTTTTCCTATCCACTTGGGTTTAAAATTTGGAAGGCAACATTGCATCTCCCGATGCAATCAAATTCTATTGATTCCATCCTTTCAAGATCTCCTACCAATCACTAGGGTTCCACCTTCATTCCTTCTTTTTCAGTACCTGGCTGAGGAGCAACTGACCTCCTCAACTCCATTCTCTACATCAATACTACATGGACTTCCCTGGAGCATCACTTGGGTTATATCTTACTGTCGCACATAGAAAAAAGATCCTTTTTTAGTTGCCAGATGAAAAACAAGCCAATCAATCATTAAACAAAAAATTCTTTCAAATCAAACAGGGAATTCTAATTTGCTTTCCAACAAATAAGTACAAAGAGAGCTTTTGAAAGAACAGTCTGGATGGGAAGTGAAAATCTCCCTCTCTCCTGGCCAGGAGCCAGTGCACATCCCCCCCAGGCTCCTCCCAGCATTCTCAGCGGGAGTCTCCTCCAGCTTCCCTGCCCCTAATTTGGACTCCATGTATCTCTAGACTATCATGGGTTAGTTAAGAGCTGCAGGATTTATTACAACAGTTCCGACCCCAATCTTTTCTCCTAGCCAGAATTGTTTGCTGGCTCTCTGCTACCTTCTACAGTGAGATCTCACTTTGCTTCCAAGCCTGTCACATGCTGACATCTCCTACCACCCTATTTTCCCACAAAAATTAGAGCAACTTGCTGTTCCATGACCCCACCACACATTCTCTAGGCAATGAGTCTCTCTGAAACATTTATGCTACTTAGAATTTCTCCTCCTCCTCTTCCCTTTCTCACAACCCAATATTCACCTGTCAAAATTCCATTTATTCTTTTCAGACTTTCTCCAGAGCTTCCCACTGGGAGTCACACTGGGTTAATGTGTATCCACAATGGGACTTAGAGTATCACAGAGGTACTTGTGTGCTCAACTAGCTTACACATTCCAAGAGTGCTCTACTTCTAACCAACAGTGAGAATTTTACAAGTTTAATCTTTTAAAACAGTTTCTATTGTCAAAAGTGCAGTTTGGGGGAAGATCAAATGAGAAAGTATACAGATGAAAATGGACGATTACATCTAGTGCAGTTGCCTGGCATGGTAGGTGTCTATCAAAGCAATGAGCGGATGGGTATGAGTCTTCCTCTCCCCAAAATGTAATCAAAATAAAACAATATTCAGTGATTGTTAACATATGTATAGTGGACTTTCAATTATCCACTTGTATAGAAGAAGTCAGAGGCTAAAACAGTTCAAATAACTGAATTAATATATTCTTGACTTTGCAAGGAAGTTTTTAAATTATAGGAACATTTCAATTTTTTTTCCCCCCTTGGGCAAAGGTTTAAATTTTCTCATCCCAAAGAAGATCAACTAGACCACACATGGTGGAACACGCCTGAATCCCTGCATCCCAGGGGGCCAAGGCAGAAGGATGGCAAATTCAAAGCTAACCTCAAACTTTGTGAGGCCCTTAGAAACTTAGGGAGAACCTGTCTCAAAATAAAACATAGAAAAAGGGCTGGGGATGTAGCTCACTGGTAAACTGCCTCTGGGTTCAATCCTCAGTACAAACAAACACACAGGAACAACAATAGGTGGCTAAAGTCTTGAAACATTTTCATGGTGGTAACAGACTGGCTCAAAAATTTTAAAAAATATGTGAGAATTAATAAAGCAATTTACACAAGGATCTTCAGGGAAATTGAATCCTATGGCTGAAAAGCTGTACTTTGGATACTTATCCGTCCCTCCTTCCCTCCCCTCTATACATCTTTTTTCATTTTTCCCATCTCACTTCCTTGGCAATCTTACTTCTTGAATGAGTGCTTCATGTGATTTGTACCGAGAGCAGAGATAAGAACTGTATTATAAGGAACACATTACCCTCTTTTTCTTCTATCAGTCAGAAATTGTTTTATAAGAAACAATTATACACTGATAACTGTCAATTTGAAATTTCTTGTTCATATCCATCACTGGGAATTTTGAATGTTCACCCTTCTCCCAGTTCCAATCCTACAGCACAGATTAAAAATTTCACAGGCTGCTAGATCACTACAGGACCTCAGAGACTTTATGATCCAGTCAATTTCATGTGTTCTTACCCTAATTTTTAGATAAGGAAACAAG